AAGTAGGAATCAACTCGACAGCACTAACAACAGAGTAACAGTCTAGGTAGTAACTGGACCATAGGTAGTACCATCAGCACAGGTACTACAACATGTGAGGGAATATAGCTTCCCTTGGGGGAAGGGGACAATATACTCTAAAGTTTTAGAAAAGAACAGTTTTGGAAGATAACTCCGCAGATGGGAAGGAAGCTATACTAGATGGGCAGTCCCCCTTTCTCACTTTAAAGTCCAGCTGGTCCAGGCACTCTTCCTCATCTACAGATTATCATCTACAGTTTGTTGCAAACCTTGAAATATTCTAAATTTTATTTTAATAAAAGAATCTCTTCTATTATAGATTGAAACATGGATCAATACGGTTATTTAAAAGAGGTAGAAAGATACAGGTAAGCAAAGCAGAGTGCTATAGTTTGTCATATTATTTATGGAGCAGAACAGACACCGGAGCCCAGACCACCTAACTAAAGAGTCAAATGTCCATTCTTTGACGCTATGTTCTTGCAAAAGCTAAGGCTATACTTTTCCTCTTTTTAAAATACTCTACCTACTTCAAACAAGGACTAATACAATTTATGTAGTACTTGAAGAGGTAAAAATACTACATCTCCTTGGGCTTAAATCCCCTGCCTGAGTCAAATCATTTTTTGTTTTAGCCAATACAAAATGTAATTGAGATGGTAAGTCTGATGCCAAAGAAACTAAATAAACCCTATTACTAAAAATAAGTGATTTAGGGGCTGGCCCCGTGGCCAAATGGTTAAGTTCATGTACTCCGCTTCAGTGGCCCAGCGTTTTGCCGGTTCAAATCCTGGGCATGGACATGGCACCACTCATCAGGTCATGCTGAGGCAGCGTCCCACATGCCACAACTAGAAGGACCCACAACTGAAAATACACAACTATGTACCTGGGGGGCTTTGGGGAGAAAAAGGAAAAAAATAAAATCTTTAAAAAATAAAAAATAAGTGATTTAAAGCTATTCACTGGTTTGAATTATCTTAGCAACTCTTCCTTCTTTAAAATAAAAACATTACAAGTTGACTATATCCTGAAATATAAATCACTAAAATTTCTGCATCTCTAATTTTCTCCAAATACTTATACAAGTAAGCTCAATATGGAATTTCATAAATGGGACTATTAAATTTTGAAATTGTAAACTAAGTAACCAAACCAGCATTTCTCAAATAGTCCCATGGAATACTAGTGTTCCTTAAGATATTCCTAAGTGTTCCACAAAGAAAAAGAATATTACGGTCAAAAGCATTTCAAAATGCTGGATTAAAGTTAAAACAAGTGTTGTTTTATAAGAGCCTTCTCAGAGTCCTTCATTCTTTCATTCAACAAATAATTTACCAAATGCCTATCAGATACCGGGCACTGACCTGGGTTTGAGAGTTACAACAGTGAACAAGATAAATAAAATCTCTGCTCTAGGGGCCGGCCCTGTGGCGCAGCAGTCAAGTTCACACATTCCGCTTTGGCGGCCCAGGGTTCACTGGTTCAGATCCCGGGTGCAGACATGGCACCACTCGGCAAGCCATGCTGTAGTAGGCGTCCCACATATAAAGTAGAGGAAGATGGGCATGGATGTTAGCTCAGGGCCAGTCTTCCTCAGCAAAAAGAGGAGGATTGGCAGTAGTTAGCTCAGGGCTAATCTTCCTCAAGAAAAATAAAAAATCTCTGCTCTCACAGAACATTCTGGTTGAGGGGACAGTCAATAAACAAAGCAAAAAATAAAATAACTGCAGTCAGTGATAAGAACTATGAAGATACTAAAATAGGATGACATAGAATGCAGAGGATACTTCAGACTGGGTGGACACATTCAGCTACGTGGCTAATATTTTTTGTTTTTCTACCTTGGAGAAAATAGTATGTAGTATTTCCCGAACATATGTTGATCAGGAATCCTTTTGTCAAAGAACATATATGAATAGCTAACTGAATCAATTCAGAAAATGCTGCTCTAACCAATACACAGACAATAGCAGGATCAAGACTCAAATACAGCCCTTCTGATCCTAAATACAAGGTTTTCACAACTTCCTCATTTGTAAAAGTGGAAATAATAATAGTATATGTCATGGTGAAAATTAAGCAAGCTAAACTTAATTAAACACCTGACACAGGGCCCGATAGACACTCTCTGCTCAATAAACGTTATTGTTACTATTTAATACAATACCCTGTACATGATGTCTTCCTGTCATCCCAGGGTGACTTATTTTTCCCTTTTAATATCTTGAACACTTTACAAGACTTAATTCATTTTGTTCACTCCTCTCTATGGTATATTCCTTGAAGACAGCAACTAGAAGAGATACTGCACATAGCTTGGCTTCAATGAAAGCTTACTATGTAGTTGTACAGAACATCCATAGTGGGTTAAATGTGCATGTGGAAAACAAATAAGCTATATAAAAAACCAATCTCCCCTCTAGGAAACTTGAACCATATTACAGCAAGGCTTCCACGAAAACTCTTCATAATAATACATTTCACACATTCAAAATGCTTTCATAAATCAACATCACCAGTAATGGGTGACATTCTTCCTGATAAGATGTGCTAAGATACCATTCCACTTCTGTGGTATTCCTGCCAGAAAAGCATAACCTGAACTTTATCAAGAAAAAGCATTAGACAAACCCAAATTGAAAGATATTCTACAAAATAAATGGCCTGAACTCTTCAAAAATGTTAAAATCATAAAAGATAAAGACTGAAAAACTGTTCCAAATTACAGGAGGCTAAAGAGGCATAATAACTAAATGCAACAAGTAATCCTGGACTGGATCTTGAACTAATAAAAAAAAATATTTTTTGCTATAAAGGACAATAGCAGACCAATTGGCAAAACTGAATAAGACCTATAGATTAAATAACAGTACTGTATTAATGGTAACTTCCTGATATTGATCATAATATGACAGTCATATAAGAGAATTTCATTGCTTTTAGGAAGTTCACACTGAAGTATTTATGGGTAAAGAAGCATTATGTCTACAATTTAATCTCAAAGAGTTCACAAAAAAAATAATAGCTAGAGAGAGAGAAATTGATACAGTGAATATGGCAAAAGAAAAAATTGGGGTAAAAAGTATGTAAGAATCCTTTGTACTGTTACTGAACATTTCCATAAGTCCAAAATTATTTCAAAACTAAATGCCTAAACACAAAAGTAATAGTGAAAAAAAGATAGCAAAAAAATCACGTGAAAAGATGCTCAACATCATTAGCAATCAGGAAAAAGGCAAATTAAAACCACAATGAGAAACCACTAAATCTCTATGAACATGGCTAAAATGTAAAATCAAAAGAGAAAAATTTCTCAATACCAAGTGCTGGTGAGGATGTGGGGCAAGTGAAACTCTCAAACATTACCAGAGGGAATGCACAATGGTAGAGTCACTTTAAAAGAAACTTTCAAATTGTTTCCCAAAGTTAAACATATCTTTACCACATGAACCAACAATCTTAAGTATTAATCCAAGAGAAATGAAAATTCATAGTCAAATAAAACCTGCATGCAAACGTTTATAGCAATTTATTCATAATCACCAAACACTGAAAACAACTCAAATGTCTATTAAATGGAAAATTGATAAAGTATGGTACATTTATACAATGGAATATTTTTTAGCAATAAAAAGGAATGAATTATTGATACATGCAACAACATGTATGAATGAAGTCAGTCTCAAAGGTTACATGTTGTATTATCCATATATATTTATGACCTTCTGCAAAAAAGCAAACTACAGGGATGAAAACAGATGACTGGCTGTCAGGGGTCGAAAAGTGTGGGGGAAAGGTTGATTAAAAATAGTCAGCAAGGGGCCAGTCCGGTGGCACAGTGGTTAAGTTCATGCTCTACTTTGGTGGCCCAGTTCATGCATTCAGATCCCGGACATGGACCTATCCATCACTCATCAAGCCATGCTATAGCAGCGTCCCATATACAAAACAGAGGAAGACTGGCACAGATGTTAGCTCAGGGACAATCCTCCTCACCAAAAAAAAAAAAAAAAAAAAAATAGCATGATGGAATCTTGGGGGTGACATAACTGTTCTGTGTCTTGATTGTCATTGGCATTACATAATTTTAGGCATACATCAAAACTCACAGAACTGTATACTAAAAAGAATGAATTTTAATACACATACATTTTAAGAGTATATATTTGTAATTTCACAAGGAAAAAAGTACTTTCATAGACATCTCATTTTATTCTCAGCCCAATAAAGACTACATAGGTACTATTACTCTCATTGTGTAAGTGAGGAAACTGAAGCATACATTAAATAAATGAACATACAAATTACATATGACAGGACCAAAACTGTAGTCCAGACACAGTGACTCTACACAAATGTTTATTCTCATAATTTTCTCATGTTCCACTAAACTTGATGGGCTACAACATCCCTGAAGACAAACAGGATCAAAGGGAGGGAGGGAGGGAAAAAGAAACAGGTACTGGAAGTGTATCCTCTAGAATTCAGCCTTTGTCCTTAAGGAATTAAAAAATAGTCCATAACTGAAGAAGTTTGAATAGTGATCCACACAGGCAACAAATTAACTGGCATTAAAGGATTAGCTGATGATTTCTTCCATAAAGCCTTCTTAATTTCTTAATGCTAAGAAGCAGCAAAAGCAAACATCAAACATTCACAGGTAACCTTGTAACTATTGATAGGATTTAACTTCTACCTGGTCTTCAGAAGAACATCGAGAATAATGATGGTAACTACAGCTCAGAACAGATTTTACAACTTTAAACAAACATTTAAAGATACTCGCAGACGCTATCATCCAAGGGGGGAACCTTTAAAAATACCTTTTTGGTTTTAGAATCAAAGAAGCAGCAGTATAATATTTGCCCAAGAACATACTGTAAGGACAATATCTCAGGGGAACACTAACCTTAGTCTCTTTAACAAAAAAATAAAAAATAAAAAGTTGCATCTGCACCACAAATAGCATACTTCACCTAAAAACAGTGGCGTGGTTTCCTCTAAAGTAGTTGCATTAGGATCGGCCCCAGCTTCTAAAAGAATCTGTACGATCTTCCAGTGTCCTTGACTTGCAGCAAGATGCAATGCACAGAAGCCCTCAAAAGTCTTTGTCTTAATGTAGTTTTCAGATGAATCTATACAAGAATAAAAAAAAACCATCAACTAGAAGATATCACTTCTATTTCTTAGGATTAAAAAGCAAAAATTCCAAGAAGAATTTAATGAAACATTAAAATATAATTCTAAAGGGGAGGTCTCAGTTTAAAACTCCCTAGAAAATCAGGAAAAAGTTCTATAGGGGTCACATTGTGAACAGCTCTCTGGTATTCTTTCTTTTTTTTTAGGAAGATTAGCCCTGAACTAACTACTGCCAATCCTCCTCTTTTTGCTGAGGAAGACTGGCCCTGAGCTAACATCCATGCCCATCTTCCTCTACTTTATATGTGGGACGCCTACCACAGCATGGCTTTTGCCAAGCAGTGCTGTGTCTGCAACTGGGATCCGAACCGGCGAACCCCGGGCCGCCGAGAAGCAGAATGTGTGGACTTAACCGCTGTGCCACCGGGCTGGCCCCCGTCTCTGGTATTCTTAACACAAATTCTGCTTATACACTCATTTTCTCTTCTTTAATTTTTGACAGGTTGGGAGAACGGAGCGGCAGGAGTAACACCAAAGGAAGATCTGAACAGGATGCAGCACCAAAGATCTGCTTAAGCAAGATTTACTGAAATATTAATAAATTTTATGTTTTTTATTTCTACATTTCCATGAGAAAAATGGTCTCATCTCTAGCATTACTTCCTTGTATTCAATTAATAACTGAAGGTAGTTTAAAATACTCCTTTTCTAACCTAATAGTTAATAGAGACTGCATTTTGAAAACAATAAAATGTACTCCAAAGAAATCAAACAGTGGCATACAGTTTATAAGAAACTTATGAGTTAATTTACTTTAAGGCTTTCTGGGGTTTATTGTTATGAAAATCTCAAGGTTCTAGTAACATTCAAATTATGTAAATACATCTACATTAAAATTTTTTCACATCCACAGCAAAAGATAATACTGAGAAGTGATTTTCTTACCTTTGCTTCTAAAACAATAAAATTCTAAACCCACAATAGGCTGTAAGGTAAATGGTGAAGGCATTTCTGAGAGTAGTAATAAACAAAAACAAAAAATAAAGAAATTTTTAAAACCTTTAAATAATATTTCCTTGAAATATCAGAATTAAAACTAATGCTCCTGACTAAAATAATCATCTGTCAAGTAATTCTTACAATTGTAACTCACTGATGAAATTGGCAGACTAAGCCATAATAATATTCAAATAATAGGTTATAAGTACAAATATTCAAAGAAAACAGCCTCAAACTTTACAGGATGCACAACTAAACAGCAAGATAGGGTAGTTATATTTTAGCAGTTCCTATCACAACAGTGTTTCCCAGAGTAGTCAGAAACTGACCTTTATTCAGATATCCACAAAACTCTAAGGTTAAGACATAAAAAGCCAGGACAACACAGATATATAGACATAGATATACAGACAGCTGTTAAATGGGAAATTTCAATATTATAAAAATACTAATTCTTCCCAAAATCATTAATAAATTTATTATAATTCTAATCAAAATGCCAAACGAGCTGGCTATTGGTTGGTTGGTTGTATACTTGGTAAAGTTGACAGGGGTTGGGGAGGGCAGATAAGATTGACAAAAAATTTATAAAAATAAACAAAAGTATTGAGAGGAACCTAGACTTACTACACTATAAACCACGTCTTAAAGTTAGAATAAGTAAAACAATGTGGTATTGGTACCAAGGTAGAGAGGAAGGTGGCCATCAGTGAGAGGAGGAGAGAGCAGAAGCAAAGAGACTACAGGGGATAGCTGAAAGGCAGGAGATCTAGACTAGTGTTGCATTACAGATGTCACAGAATTTTCTTTTGGAAAGAAAGAAGGAAGTTTCTCTTCTACTGAGAAAAAAGAAAAGAGATAAGGTTTAATCCTGACCATTTAAAATACTACACTTTAAAGCAGAAAGAGTAAATCATACTTAATATATGCAACTAGAAAGAAATCAACCAGGAGGGGGCCAGTGGGGAAATCCTAGGACAGAATGCAGACTGTGACAAACGCATCTAATTGGATTACAAATGTAAGACATAACCTCACTGAGGGAGTGGAGAAAATTGACGCTGGCCTAAGTAACTTTGGAAAATGGTGTTATGACTAGAGATTGTAAGGCTAAAGACAAAAAGAACCGTAAATAAACATTGTAGTCTAGTTGGTAAAGTTGCCTCTCATAAGGGTACAAGATTAACAATTCTGATGGGGCCGGCCTGGTGATGTAGTGGTTAAGTTCACGTGCTCTGCTTCAGGTGGCCCAGGGTTCGCAGGTTCGGATCCCAGGTGTGGACCTAGCACCACGTAACAAGCCACACTATAGAGGCATCCCACATAGAATAGGAGAAGACTGTCACAGATGTTAGCTCAGTGACAATCTTCCTCAAGCAAAAAGAAGACGATTAGCAACAGATGTTAGCTCAGAGCCAATCTTCCTCACCAAAAAAAAAATCCTGAAATCACTATATGTACAATAAGATTTAATAAATAAATAAATGGATGGTAGATAGAGCTAGGTTTCTCACTATTGGAGAGGGAGGTTACAGATAAGCAAAGGAGGAAGACTAGAAAGAACTATATGGTACCAGACTAGAGTCCAGATATCAGTATGAACTCGTGTTTAGCTTTAACATAAATACAGATGGATACAGAAATACTTATAGTTATGTGTATACACATAGTTTACAACACATAAATATATTTCCTAGCTCTGTCTGCTGAAAGGGCTTAAAAGAAATGACATGCTAGTAGCAACAAGCACACCCAGTGCCCAGGCCTTGGTTTTGAATATCATTCTCTAATAAAAGGAACCAGGGCTCCTAGGAGAATGGCTAATTCTTGGGTTGGCACGTGAATATACAAAATGAACCTGGAGCATCCTGTAGGTCAAGAAAGCAAAAAAGTACTCAAAAAGCAAAAATGAGGGCATGTCAAAGAAACACAGGAGCCAATCTGAAAGGGCACTCAATAGTCAAAGCTAGGACAATATGAGCAACAAAATAAATAATATCATATTGGATAATAACCCAATGTATAAAATAAATATTCAGGTGTCTGTGCAGATATAAATGATTGAATAAGTAAATAAATGAGAGAGAAGAGATATTCCAAATATCAGAAGAATTCCAAATAATTTATGTAGCTACTCCCCCCTCAAGGAAGAGACCTTAATCCCCACCTGGTGAGGGCCACCATTAGTGATTTGCACACATACTCATTTTACAAAAGGGAAACAAAATCTCCTGTGCAATTATCTATGAAGAAAAGAAGAGAGAAAAGAAAAGATACTTCTCACTCAAGATGAGAAATAGTGAAGTCAGTTTACTACTAAATTGAGATCTTTAAACATTTAACTGCAGAAAAACTAGATATATTTAGCTAACCCTAAAACCACTGGACTAGGAAGGTAATAAGGTTTAGGAAAAGCAATGGCTTGGGAGTTTGAAGATTTAGCCTGCAATCCTGGCTTTACTCTTACAGTTGGATTACCCTTTGGGTAAATTACTTAAATCTCTGAGGCGCAGGTTCCTTAAGAGTAAAACAAGGATAAAACAGCTGGCCCAACCCTCAAAGGGGTTCAACAGATTTACCATATTTATGTACTGTCACAGTCATTACAGATTTTGGAAAGTCTCCAAAATACCATTTAAAGAAAGTTTTCAGGACCCAATATAAGTTGGTTTTGAAAGTTCCAATGATACACTGCCCTTCTTAATTGATATGGGGGGACCAAAGGGACCTTATCTATCTTGTATAGGATCATCAACCACTGCTCTCTCCCTTTCCTTACAAGAGGGATTCTTGGAAAAATAGCACATAATACTCAGTTTTTAATGCCTTAACCTCTGTTTACTTCTCACTGGAAGGCAAAGCGGTTTCTGCTTCTATCCTGCTTACTGAAACTTTAAATGGTAAAGGCATTAAAGTCTTCCTAATGGACAAACCCAATGGGCATTTCAGTTCTTTCAGGACAATCTCTGAGTTCTTTCTTGGCTACACTTTGAGGACTGGGGCCATGTCAGCTGGACCAATGCCCAATGCCAGCCACTAACACCTGTGCATTGATGACAACACTCTGGCAATGATACCACAACTCTATGTTTTCTGACACAAGGTGTCCTTCTACTTATAAATAATAAACTTGCTTACTTGATTAACTGATAGGTGGTAGGTTTTTATTTTGTTTTCTACAAACCCCTAAGAAAGAAAGCAAAACCACATGGTTTGAAGTAGACATTAAATATTTAAGTAGAGGTTAATATAAGTTAAATATTAAGATCAGAACCTCATCTCAACAGTTGAGCCACAATGTGATGAGCCCAAACAAACTGAAGATATGCCAATCACAAAGGGTGACAAACGCCAACTTCAGGTAGATGCTGTAGTCAAGCACTCTGCACAATGTACATCAACACATTATGTTATAGTTAGGAATTCTAAGAAAAAGTTGGATATAAAATAATTTCCACAACGCAAAAAATTTCACTGTACAAAATTCTCAGACCACCCTTAAAGAGACTCTATCATGCATGTAAGATAAAGGGAAGAAGTCAGTGGAGAGGAAGAGGTTTGAAGGCATCAGGAGAAATTAGACACTATAAAAAATTAAAAGACTAGGAGAAAATATGTGAAATATCTGAAATATATAACAGCAAAGGATTAATATCCAGAATACACATAGAGCTCTTTAAAGACAAAGTATGCCTAAAACTTCCAAAAAGAAAGCCTCCTTGAGAATAAATCAACACAGAGGAACGCAGAGATGAGAGGAAGGGAGACCCAGAGTCCCATGACATCATTTTGAATATTAGCGTCCAGCAATGCCTGCACAGACCTACCACTCAGAATGAGCATTTACCTGAGCTACTGTATTCCCTTTCTGTGTGCAAGCTGGTTTGAACTAGGTTTCTTTCACTCATTACTGAAAGAGTTCTGATTAATCAGGTGGATAATTTAGCAGTGTCTATCAATATTTTAACTTTGCACACTTCTTACACCAGCAGTGTCATGTCTAAAACTCCATCCTACAGAAATGCTCGACCATGTGCACAAAGATATATATAAGGATATTAACTGAAGCACCACTTATAATAGCAAAATTTTAGGAAACAAACAAAATGTCCATTAACAGGAGAGTGATTAAATATATCTATACATCTATACTATGAAATACCATGCAGTGGTGCTCTTACTCAGAATGAAATGGGGAGCTATTGCAGAGTTTTCAGCAGAAAAGAGACATAGTCTGACATATTATAAAAGGATCCCTCTGAAATACTAAGACTACACTATGGCAGGATGCGGAGAAAGCAATGGCAGAAACAGATTTGCTAGGAGACTATTGCAGCAATCCAGGCAGGAGATGACATGACTCAGACAAAAGTATTAGTGGCTGTCAGGATGGTGAGAAGTGGTGTGATTGTGTGTGTGGGATGTGTGTATACATACACACAGATAGATATACACATATACACACATAAAGATTTGCTGATTGATTGGATGAGGGATATAAGAAAAAAATTAAGGGTGGCCCACCGTTTCTGGCCTGAACTAGAACGATAGAATATTTCTGTCTCACAGATGAAGAAACTGAACCACTGTCCAAGGTCACATCAGTGTGATCTTTCCAAGGTCACATTAATAAAGTGAGGGAGTCAGTAGAACCCAGGTTCATCTGAACACAACTCTTAATCACTATGCTACACTGCCTTATTTAACTAAGGACCTTTGGCATCTGTTATCATGCCCAGTATGACAGCATAATATTTTCTTAACAGGAACGAATAAAAAGTACTATGAATTAGATCATATATTTGCCAAATAAAACTATTTGTTAGAGATACGCTATAATTGATTACAAGATTTTATGTGACCTTTAGTCAGTAAATGGTTTACTATTGAATGACATAATTAATTGCCACTGAAGATCATTACTGGCCTCCAAGATGACAAGTTTCATGACATCTCAGTACCTACTACATCAAACATCCAATACAGCAATACAGGAAAGAAGACAAGCAAATTCACTATTTGTCTTAATACTTTAAACTGAAAGCTAAAGTGAAATATATATATATGTATATGAAATTTCTAAGTAATCCATACCACAATTGAATGCTCTTCTCCAATCTGAATGAGAAGACCATGAATGATTCTTAGGCTAAATTCTGGATCTAAATTGAAGAGACAGTAAAGCAAAACCTTTCTAACCACTTAAGACTCTTCCATTCTTTTTGTGTAGGCCTGAGTACCTTCATACTTTAGTGCACTAATAAAAGGTATGTTTTAGGAATCTCTGGCAGTTTACTAACATTAGATGAAATTCAAGGAGGTAGAAATTATGTAACAAAAGACACTTTTAGAGGCTGGCCCCATGGCCGAATGGTTAAGCTCGCGCGGTCCACTTAGGCAGCCCAGGATTTCGCCAGTTCGGATCCTGGGCGTGGGCAGGACACCGCTCATCAGGCCGTCCTGAGGTGCTGTCCCACATAGCACAACCAGGGGCACTCACAACTAGAATATACAGAATATACAATTATGTACTGGGGGGCTTTGGGGAGTAGAAGAAAATTTTTAAAAAAAGATTGGCAACAAATGTTAGCTCAGGTGCCAATCTTTAAAAAAAAAAGACACTTTTATGTATACCAGCTGAGCCACGAGAGACAAGAGAATTACGAATCATATAAAACACACGTATAGCAAATATAAAGAATGACAGAAATGTCAAACTTGCTTAGGAAACTTTTAAGATTAACCCACAATACCAAGTTAACTGCTATAGATATAAAGGTGCTGTTGCCATCATCAAGCAGAAGAGACCTCACTTCACTCTTCAAGACTAGAAATATTTGTACTTCCTCATCATTTTAAAATACTCCTCATATGTAGCTAGACCTTTTACAAAGTAGTCAACTACCATTCCTCATTGGTCAATGTTCCTGAACCTGAACCATCCAGAAAAGTTTAGGTTATAATCATTTTTAAAAGGGAGGGGATCTGAATAAACTATGGACTTTATTAATTTAAAAAACGGATGAGCCAGGGGAACATATAAAACTTTTTTTTCTGCTTAGTCTCCCCAAATCCCCCCAGTACATAGTTGTATATCCTAGCTGTGGGTCCTTCTACTTGTGGTATATGGGACACCATCTCAGCGTGGCCTGATGAGCAGTGCCATGTCCACGCCCAGGATCTGAACCAGCGAAATGGCATGGACTCTGAAGCAGGGTGGGCAAATTGAACCACTCAGCCACGGGGCTGGCCCCTATAAAACATTTTTAAAGCAACCAATAGGCTATGCAGCTCTTCTGCCTCATTCTAGCTTGATTTTCCTAGTTAGTGAATTAGATAACCAAATCTGATAGAATTTTGGACACTAGTTCCAACTACAGAAAACAACCAAACTCATGGAAGCCTGAAAATGTTACCACCTCCAAAAGTAAGTCATATAGCTGCTTCCTACCCTCTGCAAACCCTACTTCCTATCTCCCTGTCCCTACCCTAACCCTTGTGTACGAAGTGCACATAAATTAGTTTTATCCAAAGTTTATCTCATGATAGTGAACTGCAGTAATAGTACAGGGAGAAAATCTTATTTGACCATTTATATGAACTACTCAAATAGTTAACTATGGGGGCTGGCCCCGTGGCCACGTGGTTAAGTTCACACACTCCACTTCGGTGGCCCAGGGTTTTGCCAGTTCAGATCCTGGGCACAGACATGACACCGCTCATCAGGCATAGCAACGTCCCACATAGCAAAGCCAGAGGTTCTACAACTAGAATATACAACTATGTACTGGGAGGCATCGGGGAGAAGTAGGAAAAAAAAAAGGAAGATTAGCAACAGATGTTAGCTCAGGTGGCAAAAAAAAAATAGTTAACTATGTGTGGCTATCTTATCCTCCAAAAACATCAAGCCTAAAAAAGAACAGTCATTAATAATAAAGGTGATATTCAAAATTTCTAAAAATTATAGAGAGATGACTTAACAGACAGTTCAAACATTTAGTCACAAGTATGCCTAAGTTTATTCAGCAGCTAAGGGGAAAAAAACTGTAACATAAACAACACTGTTCTGATGTGGGACACATAACAGTATATTGGGAATGAGCTTTTTGACTAGAAAAGAATATCTGAACTCATGCCTTTGTCACTAAAGATTAAGCTTTTTAAAATTTGAGACATAAAGTCTATTTTCCTAATATCTTTAAACACTCAACTATAAAAGACTCTAGAACATGTGACTTAAAAAGTAGTAATGACAAACTTCCTGTATTATGATTTGGGAATTTAGGCTTGCCATTCCTCAACCCTTAAAACAAAACAGGACAAACAAAAAAACAGAAAAACACACCAAAAACAACATAAAGATTACTTTCTTTCCCATCCATGAGGTAATGAGTTAGTAATTCTGATAGGCTATGGCACCAGAAGTCTAAATTTTGAGTGCTATACCTAGCGATGATAAATACGCAGAGAAGAAGAATCTGAATTTCCATGATCAATGAAATGTAAATGGTTCACTGAGTATTATAACACAGTGTTATATTCAACCTATTTAACTGAATGCTAAAAATGTTCACTTTGATTAAATGTTGGAAGCATGTCATAGCAGAAAAAACATGAGCTTTAGAATAAGAGAAATATGTTAAAAAAATACTTAGTTTATTATACAACCTTTGACAAGTCAACTTGTCTGAGCCTTCGTCTTTTCACCAATAAAATGGTATTAACATTGCCTCAATGGCAGTTTTGTATATATTAGATAAAGAATATGAATCAAACATCTAGTACAACCATTGTTAAAAAGCAGTGCTCAGGGACTGGCTCCATGGCCGAGTGGTTAAGTTCGTGCGCTCTGCTGTGGCAGCCCAGGGTTCAGATCCTGGGCACGGACATGGCGCCGCTCGTCGGGCCACGTTGAGGTGGCGTCCCATATCCCACAACTGGAAGAACATGCAGCTAGGACATACAACTGTGTACGGGGGTGGGTTGTGGGAGATAGAGCAGAAAAAAAAAAAAGATTGGCAACGGTTGTTAGCCCAGGTGCCAATCTTTCAAAAAAAAAAGGAAGATTGGCAACAGTTCTTAGCCCAGGTGCCAATCTTTAAAAAAAAAAGCAGTGTTCAATCACGGTTAATTCTCTTCTCAGTCCCCATCTCCTGAGTGTCAGAATCTCTCATTTAGTCTCATTTACTGAGCCCTTCACTCAGTACTGTGCTATTAAATGTGTAACCAACTCTCAGAGAGGGAAACAAGGCGAGTTTATGGCATTGGTTGTAGCACTGGCTGATTTCTGTGGTGTAAATACTCCCACATGGCTGACCTCAAGCCACAAGCAGGAAGGCAACTGAATACAAAGTTGGGAAGAGACAGGCAGCAGCATGTCATTACTCTCGTCCCATTAACCTGTTTTACTTTTTGAAACTATCTTGTTTAATTGTTTAGGTATTGACTGTCTCCCCTGACAGGAATATAAGCATCATAAAGGCAGAGATCTTGTCCATCCTGTTCTGTACTGTGTCCTCAGCAAACACAAAGTCAACATAATTGGAAAGATTCCCAAAGTTAAGGAACTTTTGAAAAGAATTTTTTTAAAAAAGCTAATTCAAGCAAAACCTCTCACATCCTCAATTTCAGTAACACTTTTCCTTTTGTATGGAAAAGGAAGAAAGAAAAAATATGATCAGTAACCATCAAACGCTTAAAAACAAACAGCAGACTACTTTTGCCACATCACCTACCTAAGACAATAAAAATCAGTCAGGCACAAGCACTTCCGTATAAAGGACAGCATTTACAGATGTCCAGCTAGAATACCATACTTATATAATCTAAGGCAGGCAATCATACCCTTCTTAATGCACAGGCAGTTATTTTATGGTTAAAGAAAGGGAAACAAATACTACTGTTAATAAGTCATGTATTAGCATTTTTTAATGTTTTATTAATCCAGCTTGCAGGCCCAGCCTCTCATACCTTGAATTTACTTTACCTGCACGAATCAACATCCGCAAACATTCTACAGAGTTGTGATAAGCCGCTTCATGAATTGGCATCCATCCCCTGTTATCAGCAACATCAACACTATGGCCCTTTTTGAGTAGTTTTCTTAAGACTTTAAGATTGCCTTCCCTGGCAGCAAGTCCAACCGTGGAGCATGTGTCAGAGTAAGCCTCTGTAAAATCCATTCCTTTGACCAGTCTACAAAACAAGGCAGAAAGAAAACACTATAGTCAATAAAACAACACTGAACTCCTGGAGATTAGCAGATCGAAGTGGGTCTGTCTGGTATCTCTCCCGTGACTGCTGAGGAGGAGCCTAGAGTGTTTTAGAAAGTGACTTGTCAAGCCACAGCCTCTGCTAGGGTCTAAACCAAGAAGTCTCTGTTTGGGGAATTGGGATTCCTTGGAATGTTCTTATTAAAGATACCAATGGAGTTTTAAGTGTTCTATCATTCCTTCTCTGGAAATGTAGTCTGAGCAGCTCCTTCCTGCAGGCTTCTGCTCCTGCTCACACCCGACTAAAACGCACTCTGTGAAACTCTGTTGATGAGAGAGCTAAACATTTCCAGTTAATCACAAATGCAAACTATTAGGCAGAGACAGCCATTTAACAACCAGCAATGCTGAGCCTCAAGAATAAATTTATAGCCCTTTTCTGTAGGAAAGATCACAGACTGCACCAGCCCAGAAAGTTCTTCACTGCATTATTGCCTTCTTCCTCACCATCTCTCTTCAAACTTCATTTCAAGTTTCCTTGGAGTCAGTGTCCCGTGTAACTCTCAGTATATGCTTCTTACAAAGACAATTTCTTGTTAATCACGCTATGAAGCAGGCTGGGCTAAGACTCAGGATTCTCAGGGGAATAGTTATCTCCCAAGGGGCAGCCCCTCTCAGTAACACTCCGATCCCATCCTTCCTCTTAGTTTTCTAATGATCTTAGGAGGTAGTTCACGAAATGCTAACATGTCTAATCCAATACAGGTGAAAAACTTTCTACAACCCCATTCTAAATAATTCATCTAGAAAAGGAAGATTTGAGAAAAGAGGTTAAAACAAAGCACACAGCATTTCCTGTAGTAAATTTAAAGTTATTCATGGTCACATTTAAATACAAAGCTGTAAACTGCAGGAGTTGATTCTATAGTGAGCCAAACAGCTAATGTTAGCTATGGATTAATCTGATTGGATCAACTGGTCCATTACTAGGAACATGAAGATATTTATTACAGAACATTTAATTAGTCAGTTAATAGTTATTTACTGAGCAACAACTAGATGATCAGCAATGTGGAGGATATAAAGATTACATACACACAGATTCTATTTCAAGTTATGCACAGTCTCATAGAAATGATAAATGCATATGATTCAAAATAGAAAGCAGAAAATGTCATAAGAGAAGTACAGATAAAGAGTAATGGGTAGTCAAAGAAGGGAGAAACTACTTCAACCTGGTGAGGGATATGAGCTGGGCCATAATCGGCCAACGAGAATGAGAAAATGGGCAGAAGAGCATTCTTAGGCAAAAGGAAAGACATGACCAAAATTATGAAAATGAACAAGAAAGGGTCAGTAAGGGACAGTGAATAAGTGAAACAATTAGTTCACTTTGGAAGGAGGATCAGGTAAACAAAGAAGAGTAGGAAAATGAGGTTACAGAGGGAGCTGAAAGGCAAACAGTGCAGAATCTTGAATGCTAAGCTATACTTTTGTGAACCATGCTAACTTCCAATCAAAGCCATTACATCCAAATTTCACAAAAAAAGAACAAACCACACATTTTGGGGCAATTTATGAGTATATTCATCTAATACAAGAAAAGTTTTTTCTATGTAGGAAAAACACACAAACAAGACTACTACTCTAAAGACATTAAAAACTGCATTCAAGGCCAAGTGGTTAAGTTCGCGCGCTCTACTGCAGGCGGCCCAGTGTTTCGTTGGTTCGAATCCTAGGCACGGACATGGCACTGCTCGTCCGGCCACGCTGAGGCAGTGTCCCACATGCCACAACTAGAAGGACCCACAACAAAGAATATACAACTAAGTGCTGGGGGCCTTTGGGGAGAAAAAGGAAAAAAATTAAATCTTTAAAAAAAAAAACACTGCTTTCGAGGGAGCGGCCCTGTGGCCAAGTGGTTAAGTTTGCACACTCTGCTTCGGCAGCCCAGGGTTTTGCTGGTTCGGATCCCAGGCATGGACACGGCATGCTGAGGCGGCGTCCCATATGCCACAGCAAGAAGGACCCACAACTAAAATATACAACTATGTATTGGGGAGATTTGGGGAGAAAAAGCAGAAAAACAATTAGATTGGCAACAGTTGTTAGCTCAGGTGCCAATCTTTAAGGAAAAACAAACAGCATTCAAGTAAAACAGGTATGAATCCCTCTCCAAATTTTACTAGCTTTTCTCACAGTTACAAATAATATTAATGGATCCAGATTAATAGACAATAATCTGAAAAACATATCAGAACTAGAAATATCTTTGAGCTTCTTAGGGGAAGGGGAAACCAAAAGAAATGTACTATAAAAGCAAGATCATTCCTTTCAAACCTTGGTATCAACTAGTTAACATGAATAAACTGTTTATAGGATCTCCTTTTATAAAAACCTTCCTATGTTCTAGACTAAAAGGAAGTACACAAACGACCAAATGTGATGTATAAACTTCAACTGGATCCTGGATTGGTGAAAAAAGTATCAGCTACAAAAATCAATTTTGAGATAATTAAGGAAATTTGAATATGGAATAGATCCTTGATGATGTAATTATTGTTAATTTTCTTAGATGTGATCATGGCATTGTAGTTATTAGGAGATTGTCCTTATTCTTAGGTATTTAGCAGTGAAAAGGCATAACACATGCAACTTACTTCAAATGTTTTAGATTAAAAAGTATATACAGAGCAAAAACAAGTAAGGCAACTGTGGCAAAATATTAATTGTTGGATCCACGCGGAAAGTATAAGAACGGTCACTATACTCTTTTTCTAACTTTTCTGTATGTTTGAAATTTTTCCAAAAAATTGGGGGTGGAGAGAAACTTACCATCCTAGGCACTGTGAAACTACAACCTGGAGAAAATATGTAAAGACTTGGTTATTCTTAAACTAAGTTTCTCTTTGGAGCAGTTTCCTGCTGATTTCTTAAGAGCACAAATACTACTTTTTGGACCTGAGTGTTTTAGCATTCTTTCATAATGCTAAAGACCATGAAACAGTTAGAAATTCTCGAGAAAGAACAATCATTTGGTAAGGCTTCTGTTGGCACATACAGAAACACAGGTGTGATGGTTCAAGTGATCTTCCTCAACAACATTCTGGAGCAGTAGCTCTAACCAGGAGATATTAAAATTTTTTAGGATTCTTGACCTGTTGGAGAAACTCATGAAAGCTATAAAGTCCCTCCCTAGAAAAATGCACATAGACTTCATTTTGTACATAATTTCAGGAGGTTCCCCAGATCACTGCCAAAGCCTGTACATGAGCCAAGAACCTTTGACTACTCTCTTCTGAGTGAGCTGCTGAGAATACTAAAGATGAATAAGGTCGTTTACGCCCGTAAAATTTAAATATGTAACCAACTTTTGTTGTAATAATAGTAGCTCTTTCACAGGCGTAAAATTTCTGCAGTAAGCGTTCTGAAAGGTAAAAAGGTATTTTTTTATTTGAAAGGTTAAAAGGCATAAGTTTTTTTTTTTTAATGTAAAAAAGGTCAAATATGTATTACATCCCCAGCTTGCGCTCCTTTAGCTGCTCCTTTATATGGGTAGAAACCCAGTTTTCAAAGCAAAACAAAATGATTTTCTACGTGCCAACTGCGGTGCCCGTAGATCTCTTCTCAAGACCACACCAGCCTCGCTCGACTCCGGCCCTTTAGCTTCTTCCCCTCCTGGGTTCGAAGAAGGCAGGCAGTTCCAACCTCAGAGCCACGAATCCCAGAAAAGGATTGTGGGTACTGTAGTCCTCTGCACTCGCACACCAGAAGAAGGTTAGAGTGATTACAGAAGCTGCAGAAGAAATCCACTGCTTAGTATACAGAAAGTCAATGCTTCTTGACACCCTAAGCAAGGAAATAAAACATTGACTGAGATAGCGCCGGAAAACGTTCCTCAAACTGCAAGTCCCAGTGTGCTTTGCGACCCAAAGCAGGCAGGACGGCCACTGCGCCTGCGCCGCACAGCCGGTTTCTTGCGTCCGGGAGGCAGCTGTCCCCGCCGGCACCGCGGAGACCACAGACGAGGGGTCGACCACCGCCGCGGCAAAGCAGCAAGGAAGGATGTGGGTTTTTGGTTACGGGTCGCTGATCTGGAAGGTGGACTTCCCCTATCAGGACAAGGTGGTCGGATACATCACAGGCTTCAGCAGGCGCTTCTGGCAGGGCAGCACGGACCACCGCGGGATCCCCGGCAAGGTGAGGTGCCAGCCAGTCTCCCACACTTACTGCCCCTAGAGCGCCGCTCGCCAACTCTTGTCCCAGCTCTGCGGAACCCATACCCCAACGCTTCCGAGAGCCGAGCATGTGGGTTAGGGATGATGCTGCTACACCTCTGCAACTTCCTCGGCCAGCTGCCCCCTGCCTCCCTCCCAAACCAATGGCACTTCTTCCCAAGCCACTTGAGATACTGGTGGTTAGTTTCTTGAGGCAAAAACCGTGGGCACAAGTCCACAAGCTCGCCCAAGTCCGATGTACTCGGAGGGGGGCCCCATCTCTTGGCAACCTCTGCCCAAAAAATTAAAAACAGGCAGCAAGATCAATCTTCGTGTCACCATGTAGTTGAAATATAAAATCAACTTGCAAATTCAGCTGTGCAGCAATTAAATTTGTTGGCATTTTCTGAATTCTGGCAGGCTTTCAATGGTTTGAGTTTAAACATGCATGTTATTTCTGAGATTTCTTTATATCTTCCCAAAGGTTTTATTTTATGACACCTAAGGTCACAGAACTAGTTTCCAAAATTATCTCCAGTTATTAAGGAGCTTGGTTTGATCACTTTGGTTGTCAGGTACGAGTGAAGTTAAATGAGTTCCCCGTTTATTACTTTAGTAACACAGTACCTATTACTTTATCTAGCATTATTTTAATGTTTCTTTCTCCATGGCTCTCTTCGAAATTATAAATGTGAAATGTAAGTTCTTTGATCCATTTTTCAGTCAGTCATGCAAAGACATTCATCTCAGTAGACGTGTACAGAGA